GCAGGAGTTTTCCGAACAGGAGAAAAGGCAAAGGGAGGAGCATGGGCACAGGCTGGATGAAATGTGGCCTGTCCTGGCACAGGGAGTCCACTGGGCAGCCAAGGAAGTGATGAGGGCAAAAGGGCAGGGGTTAGTGGCCAGCACACACAGGGCTTTCAAAGGAGAATGTCTGAGAAAAAGAACACTTGAAGGTGGAAACTTGAGTCCTTGGGGCTGGGCTACAGGGTCAGGTTAGCAGACAGAAACCTGGTATTTGGGGTAGAAAGGAAACAGTGCTGGAAAGCTGTATGGCTTCAGATGTGACCAAGCCTTCCTTGATCTTAAGTAGAAGCCTGATCCAGTTCTGGGGAAACCACTGAGTGGGAAGAGAAAGGAATTCTCAAGTCCTAGACCCATAAGAAGGGATGGTTGTGGTGTTCACCAGCAGCATTTGGGATTAATTACCAAACTTGGCTGTTTAGTCAGAAAGCAGATGACGCCCATGTCCAGGAGGGATGAAGAGCTTGAACTGGGAGATGTGTTAGGAGTTTGGCTCTGACAAAGTCATGCTGCTTCCTCTCTGGAAGATGGAGATAACAACAGTGCCCCACTCAGGACTAAATGAGAGGGTGTCTTGGAGAACATCTGGCACGAAGGAGGAGAAGCCACAACTGTTACTGGAACAAGGCAGTTCTAGCATATCCCAGAGGCAAGGCCCTGGCCAAGGATGTGTTTCTAGGGGAAGTATCAATCTCTTCTGGACACTGCTGGCAGAGTGAGCTTTGTACTGCATAGATGTGATCTAGAATCTGCTCCTTAACCTTCTATGGTTCCCTACAGCCCTCTAGAGAAAGCCTAAATTCTTTAACTTGAACAATAAGGCCCTGCATGATCAGGCACCCATGGCCTTTCCCATCCTCACCTGAGACCTGTTACTGCTTCCCTGACTGTCCCCGAGAACCACCCCGCCCCGAACTCCCAGCACCTTTAGCTTCTCTCTTAGTGCTCAGCTCTCTAGCTTGTTTTCACTTATCTGCCTTCCTCACAAGGCTATGAGTGGAGAACTCAATAAATATCTGCTGAATGAATGAATGAATGAATGAAGGGGGCAGTTCCAAGAAAAAAGGGGTCACTGTACACTGGCCAAATGCCTTGACAAGTATCTATCTCAGCAGGGTAGGAATTATCAGTAACCATAATTCATGGATGAGGAAACTGAAGCTAAGGTAATCTCACTGCCTGACACTTAAATTCCTGAGCACCTGTGGGTGAGGCAGGCACTGTGCTGGGCACTCACAGATGGTATCTGTGTGCCAGCTAAGAGCAACAGATACAAGGCCAAGCACACCGGGTGACAGTTAAGGCCCTGAGACCTTGCAGAAGAGCTTAAACTTTTGGACTTCAGTTCTTCACAGGGCTGCTGAAGGGTTAAAGGAACTAATGTGTGCCAAGTACCCAGCATGGTGTCCAGTATACAGCATAGACTTAGCAAGTATTTGATTCTAATCTTTGTCTTATCGATGGGAGACTCAGGCCCAGAAAAGTTCCCTGAGCTAAGATGAGGAGGGTAGGACAGAGCCCTGTCCCTTCTTCCCTGACTTCAAGAGCCAGTGTCCTTGTGAGAATATGGGGTCCTGTGGGTCCCCTCAACCCAGAACTGACCCACAGGAGGTGCTTGGCCAGGACATGCTGGATGCGGAGGCCCCAGAGGGAGGCTGTTGTAGTTGAGACCACTGCAGTCAAGTTCTACTTAAGAGGCAGGAAGGGCCCCCTGATGTCACCCCAGGGAAGTCCAGGAGGTTTTACCTGGGGTTCCAGCCTCCCCAAGGCCCAGCAGGTTCATCCCAGCTGCCTGTCTCCCTTTGGCCCCTACTTCTTTCTCTTGGGGGCTGGGACGTTGGAAAGAGGGTTTCCTGTAGGGCAGTGATGTCCAGAGGTCAGCTCTGGGAGTAACCATGGTCCCAGCACGTCTTCATACCTTAGCACCTTTATTTAACTGTCTTTTCTGGAGGCCTGGGGCTTCCTGAGGCAGGCATCTCACCCTTGTTTTCCCAGCACCCAGCATATTGCCCAGAATGCAGGAAATGGTTGCCGAATGAAGCAATGAATTAATTTCAGGATTCATCAGGTGCTTAGTCTGTACAGGCCCCTGAAACTGACCTTTACCTTAGAGAAACCTCACGCCACCCTGTGCACTGGAAGCCACAGATGAGGAAACTGAGGCTTGGGGCTATTAAGTGACTGGCTCAAGGCCAAACAGGGGCAGTTCTGAGGCCCTCAGGATGGTCTGTGGGAAAGTAAAAGGTTGAGAGGAGCGTTGATGAATTGGGGCAATTGGCAGGGTGTAATTGTCAGTCAGAAATGCTTAGCTCAAATTATTAGGTGTGAAGAAGGAAACAGTCAAAGCTTCCCCACTGAATTGCCCAGAAGGGGTTGGCAGGAGTTTCTCCTTAGCAGAACAAGGGCTGGTCCCTGTAGGGCGGGACCCTGGGGTGTAGACCCAGCTCTTCTCTGGCTGGTCCTAGTGCACAGAACACTGCCAACCTTACTTTGCACTTGGGAACCTTCAGAGGCCCCCTGGGACCCCTATGGGGTCATAGTTGGAGGGGGGGGCATTACTCTGGTTCCAGGGGGTAATCTACCCTTCCAGAAAGTCTGCTTGTTGTCTTGGCAGGGCCTGCATCCCAGCACTTACGGTGTGCTAAGCCTGTGTTTACTTGTGTGCCTCCATGGCTGGTCTGTGGGCCTTGGAGAGTAGGAGGTTAGGGGCATCCTGAGCTCCTAGCTTACCGGGACCAATCTCGGGGTGAAGGACGGGAAAGGCTGAAGGGTGGAGTTTAGGGATCCCCGTGCCGATACCGTACAGGGCAAGGCCAAAAGTGGCCTTTCTCCCAAGTGGGTTCACGGCTAACAGATAGAAGGGCTGCGGGTAAACACTCCACTGGGGCAATAATTATGCACATTTACTAAGCCCAGGGAGGAATGGTAGTCACGTGGCTCTCGAGGGCGGTGCCCTCAGCTTTGAGATGGAGTTAACTCTAATCACAGAAGGCTTTCTGGAGGAGGCGGGATTTTTATGGCGGTAGATCGTGGTTTTCTCTGGGAACAGCGAGGATGCCCTTAGCATTTTTGGTAACAGCTAGCTGCCGCGGTGAGCTTTTTGCCGGGGTACAGGCCCAGGGGGCGACGGAGTCAGACCGAATTGGGGGAAGGGCCTAGGGGGCCGGAGTCCCGGGGTGAGGCTGGGTTTGGGTTCCTTGACCTGTCCTTGCACCGCCTTTGATGATTGGATGCATCGCGGCCGCTCTAGGCCAGGGCTGCGGGGCCCGGGGCGCTGGGTGCAGGCCTCGAGGTCCAAGGCGCCCTGGGAGCAGACAGCACCGGGCCGAAGATTAGGCCATTAGACCTTGCTGGGCCAGCCCGGCGGTCCGCCCTCCCAACGCAGTTCCGCCGGGGTCCCGAAGCCCGGCTCGCAGGGGCGAGGCGCGCGCTCCCGGGGGATCAGGGCTGCAGAGCCGGCGGCCTGCGCTGGGCGGCTGTGGCACGAGAGGGCCATCTGCCTGGGTGCGGAGAACTGCAGCGTCCGCGGTGCGAGGCGCGGCCCCTCCGGGCCCCCAGCCCGCGTCCCCTGCCCCGCGCGCACACACCTACTGACGCCCGCCCGCGCCCGCGGCCCGAGTCCCCGTGCCAGGCCCAGACCCAGACTAGGCGCGGGAGGCGGTGCAGGGATTAGTGGACCCCTCCCCCCAGCGCGCCCCTTGCCCCGCCCGAGGCAGCGAAGACCCCTGGGCCCGGGGGTGGTGAGGGAGCTTCGTCCCGGCGGTGCCCGGGCAGGGGACACGGCCTCACAGGGCGGGGGCCGCACGGCGGCAGGCCGAGGTGCGGGCGCGCTGTCAGGCTGCTGCCCGGCTCCGGTGCGGGGGGTGGGCTCAGCGCGGGGGTCGCCTGGCCTCATTCCCCGGCCGAACCCACGGCCGGGCAAGCAGTGCCCGGGCGGGTAACCCGACCCGACCCGGCTCCCGGTCGCTGCTCACCCCGCAAGGCCGGGCAGGGGGAGGGAGAGAAATGAGGGGGAGGGGGAAGGGAAAGGGTGGTGGGTGAGGGGCTGTGGGGACCGAAGGGCCGAGTCCCCGGCCTGTCTGCGCTGCTCTAGGGCGGCTGCCTGTGTTGCCCGGGACGAGCCAGCCCCCTGCCTCGCGGGCGTCGGGCCTGCGGCAGGAGGGAGCCCTGAGGCTGCACAAGCTTGGCTCGGGGAGGCAGACCCGAGCTGCTGCCTCCATTTTGTTTCCTGCTCAGCTTGGTCTGTGGTGATGGTGGTGTGGGTTTGGGGTGCGGCCGGGCAGGGGGTTCACCTGCGGCCGCGCCTGCTCGGGGCCTGAGGCCTCGAAGACCCCAGCCCAAGCCCCCAGGTGAGCCCCGCGGTAGGAGGGGGGGTTGCCTTGGCCTCGGGCCGAGCCGAGCGGGCTGAGGGCAGGTGCCCAGTGGATGGGGAGCCGGGCTGTAACCTAAGATGGAGGTCGGGACTGACGCGGGCCCGAGCGGGGCTGGCGGGGCGGTCGGACAGGCCTCAGCCCGGCCAGGTGCCGCCGGGGTTGGGGCTCGAGTTGGGTAGGGTGCAGGAGCCGTGTGCAGCTCGGGGCCGGCGCAGCGCCCCGAGGTAAGTGAGGGGATCTGAGTGCCACCCACGACGCCCGCAGGCCCAGACACTCCGGGGAGGCGCGCGAGGCCCCTGGGGAGCCTGCCTCAGGCCCCGCCCGGGCAGCCGGGCCGGCCCGTAGGCCCGGGCCGCGAGCGGGCGCGCAAGGGGAGGGGAGGGGGCGGCAGCGGCGGCTCCGCTGATTGGGCGGCGCGCTCGCGAGCCCGACTTCACCCGCCCTGAACCCCGAAGAGTGAGGCGAGGGAGCGCGCGCGCGGTGGGGGAAGGGGTGCGCGCGCACTCGGTGCCCCAGCCGCACGCGGGCCGGCGCGAGGCGCTGGGTCGCACGCGCCGCCGCGGGGGCGCGCGCGGTGGGGGTGTGAGGAGGAGGAGGCGGCGGCGGAATAGGCCGGGGCAGGTCGCGCTCGCTGCCTTCTCCCCTGAAGAGAGACGCGGGGGGAGGGGGGTGCGGCGAGCGGCTCCGCTCTCTCCCCAAGGCTCCGCTCGCGCCCCAGTGTAATGAGGGTCACCCCCTCCCCCCAGCCGGCCCGGGAGGGGGCGCGGGGCACGGTAACTAGTGCGCTGGGGTGGGTGGCGGGCAGGCGCGAGGAGGAGGGAGGAGGTGGCCGGGCGGGGAAGATGGTGGTGGCCGTGAGGTGAGGGGCGCGGGGGAGGGCCGGGCGCGGCGCGGTGTTGGTGGCCCGCGGCGTTGTAGCCGCGGGCCCCCTCCCCCTCCATCACTACCAGCCGGGCTCAGGCCTAGCCGGCCCGGCCGCCGCGAACTTCCTCCCGGCGCGGCCCTTGCCCTGCCGGCCTCCCGCGCGCACCTCGGCCTCCGCCTCCCCTCGGGTAGCCGGCTGGTGGGCGCGGGGCCGGCTGCCCTCCTGCGGCAAACTTTGCTTGCTGCTTAATATTGATGAGTGCGATCGGCTCGGCCAGGAGGTGCTGCCGCGGCTGCGGGAAGGAGCGCGGCCCGGGCAGGCGGCGGCGGCGTCGGCAGCAGCCATGTTTGTCAAGCTGTAGCAGCTGCTGCTGCCCTGACTCGGCTTCACCGGCTGCCTCCGTTTCTCTCCCCCTGCCCGTCCCGGCCTCTGGGCCCTGCAGCCGTGGACTGAGCAGTCCTGCAGTCTGGAAGGCGAGGTTCGGGGTGCACCCGCTTCGGCCGACTCGCCTGCGGCCTGGGCACGGCCGCTGCAAGGGCTTCAGCGCCGGCTGGGCGCAGGGTGCAGCGCTATTGTGACCGCTGCGCCCGAGCGAGCCAGGAAGGGGGGGGTAACCTTTTTGTGCAGCGTCCGGGAGCCCCCCTGGAGCCCTACAGCCCCCTCCCTTTTGGAGATCCGGCCGCTGGACACCCCCCCTCCCCCCGGCGGGGGATGGGGAGGGCGATTCCTGTTTGAGATTTAGGAATTTCTACTGCCAAAGGGATTTTAATTTTAGTTCAGCCCAACTGTCCACCAGTCTGCAGTGCAGGAAAAAGGGACGGGCTGTTTGCATGTGGCAAGATCTGCCCAGCTCCGGGAAGATGGAGTTTGCGGAGGCTCACCGAGGCCATTTTTCCATCGTCAGCTGGGGAACTTTTTCCGCCCATGGAAGTGCAGCAAAAAGGCATCGAGGCCACTAGGCCTTGAGAATTGGCTGCCATTTTGAAGATAAGAGTCAAATGGCCTATAAACTCCGATTAATTGCTGTTTTTGGATTCCAGGTTGATGCTGGCCCAGGATGGATCAGACCTGTGAACTATCTAGAAGAAATTGTCTGCTGCCCTTTTCCAATCCAGTGAATTTAGATGCCCCTGAAGACAAGGACAGCCCTTTCGGTAATGGTCAATCCAATTTTTCTGAGCCACTTAATGGGTGTACTATGCAGTTATCGACTGCCAGTGGAACATCCCAAAATGCTTATGGACAAGATTCTCCATCTTGTTACATTCCACTGCGGAGACTACAGGATTTGGCCTCCATGATCAATGTAGAGTATTTAAATGGGTCTGCTGATGGATCAGAATCCTTTCAAGACCCTGAAAAAAGTGATTCAAGAGCTCAGTCGCCAGTTGTTTGCACTTCTTTGAGTCCTGGTGGTCCAACAGCACTTGCTATGAAACAGGAACCCTCTTGTAATAACTCCCCTGAACTCCAGGTAAAAGTAACAAAGACTATCAAGAATGGCTTTCTGCACTTTGAGAATTTTACTTGTGTGGACGATGCAGATGTAGATTCTGAAATGGACCCAGAACAGCCAGTCACAGAGGATGAGAGTATAGAGGAGATCTTTGAGGAAACTCAGACCAATGCCACCTGCAATTATGAGCCTAAATCAGAGAATGGTGTAGACGTGGCCATGGGAAATGAACAAGACAGCACACCAGAGAGTAGACACGGTGCAGTCAAATCGCCATTCTTGCCATTAGCTCCTCAAACTGAAACACAGAAAAATAAGCAAAGAAATGAAGTGGACGGCAGCAATGAAAAAGCAGCCCTTCTCCCAGCCCCCTTTTCACTAGGAGATACAAACGTTACCATAGAAGAGCAATTAAACTCAATAAATTTATCTTTTCAGGATGATCCAGACTCCAGTACCAGTACATTAGGAAACATGCTAGAATTACCTGGAACTTCATCATCATCTACTTCACAGGAATTGCCATTTGTAAGCAGTTTTTGGTACAACTTAAATATATACATAAATGTACATATACAGGCAAATTAAAGGGAAACAACTTACTGGTTTTTGGTTGCTTATCAGTTGATGGCTGAGAGCCTATTGCTAATGATAGGCTTTTTGGGGAAATTTTACTTTGATTTTTAAATTTATCTCTGTTGTATGAGTTTGGTTCTTTTCAGATTTTTTCCAATTAACTTTGCATTGAGGACTGGCTAAGAGAACTTTAAGGGCATTTGATTGAGTTCAGATTTTATTTTTCAAATGGAGGTATACATTTGTTTAGGTGTCTGTCTTTTTTTTTCTTTTTTAAATGCTTTGGCTTGTTGGTATCATGAGTACAGGTGAACCAATTTCCTGGAGTCCTTTTTTTACACAAGACATGGCTTAGTTTTTTAGTTGATGGGTTGACTCTTGCTTCAGTTTGGAGTGCATTTTGGGTACAAATTGAAAGTAGCTAAGATGAGAAGACCTTCTTGGACATCAGTCAAAATTTAAATTAGGCCAGTTTTTCTGAACTACCTGTTCTGAAGGTATAGCATCCTATGTTTTAGATAAATGCCACCATCAGAGTAGGCTCTTGAGCCTTTTCTAGTTTTTAGTTTTAAAATTTATGTATGTATATGTGTGTGGTATGTGTACGTGTATAGAAATAGAAGAAAATCTAATTTGAGTTGTTCAGTAGTGGTGTGTACTGTTGTTAAAGAGATGTAAATGATAAAGTTCCTTTTTATTTGATCTTTTGCAGAATTTCTTGATCAGTTAGCATAATGATCAGTTGACTTCTTTTAGTCTCAGTTTCATCACCTTTAAAATCAAACTTCTTGGTTGTTAAAAAATACCCCTCAGCTTTAAATACTTGATTCTAATTTTGTTTCTGTTCAGATGTATCGTTAGGTCATCTTAGTGTCACCACAGAATATCTCCCCACCCCATGATGACTCTGAATCTTTAAGGATTTAATCAGAAAAAATTTTATGTGGTGATCGTTTTGAGTGCATTAAACATTCAAGGCTATCAGATAGCCTTGATGTTCTTTAAAGTCACAGAGAATGTGGGTGTGTCACTTTTGTTTGTTGATATATATGAAATATTCTTTAGTACTCCTTGGTTTCTTAACTGGCAGTTGCAGATTTTGAAAAATTTGTTTTGGTGGTTATCTTGAGTCTGTAGTGTCCTAAATATTTTTTAGGGTGGCTAGGCTGTGTTGGCAGCCTATTGGCAGCTTAGACAAACCCTTTTTCTTGGGTTCACATTGAAATTATTTTACTTGTATAGTTTTTTGCCTTTGTATTTACATAAAACCCTAGGTCTAACAGTGGAGATAGAGAATCCTCTAGAAGCATATATATAGAAATACAAATCTGTTTATCATCCAAAGAGATGTCAGTGGAGTATTGGCTCTGTTATAAAGAATTGAAAATATTGGTGCCTATGGACAGTATGTTAGGTATCTAAACTGGGATTTAGAAAACTTGTATAAATAGAATTTTTTTTTTCTGGCAGAAAGTCTAAATTTGCTTAAAGACTATGGGCTTGAAGAGGCAAGTAACCTGTTTATTTTAGGCCTTTGGTTTTAGATTGTGGATGCAATCTATAGCTTTGATTTTTGCCTTTGATATTTTTTAACTGAAGATTTGAAAAAGTCAAATTCTGAGAATGCAAATTCAGCTGAACGACATAGCTTGGGAAAGGTGTAATTAAAAGTAATTCTATATGATCACACGCTATTAATACATACAGATCATTCACAGTTGATACATCAGGTATAGAGCACTTACTGTGCATTAGATTCTATGCTCAGGGCGGGATATTTTACTTTTTTGAGATTTATTTTATTTTTTTGAGAGAGAGAGAGCATGAGCGAGCACGAGTGAGCACGAGTGAGTGCACGAGCAGAGGGGCAGAGGCAGAGGGAGAGGGAGAGAAATCTCAAGCAGACTCAGCACCGAGCATGGAGCCCAACGTGCAGCTTGATCTCAGGACCTGAGATCATGACCTGAGCCGAAACCAAGAGTTGGTTGCTCAACTGACGAGCCACCCAGGCTCCTCAGGGCTGGAAATTTTAGAAAATCATTAGCAAATGCTCTTTGTTTTTTTTTTTTTTTTTTTTTTTAAAGATTTTATTTATTTATTTGAGAGACAGAGAGAATGAGAGAGAAAGCACATGAGATGGGGGGAGGGTCAGAGGGAGAAGCAGACCCCCCGCTGAGCAGGGAGCCCGATGCGGGACTCGATCCAGAGACTCCAGGATCATGACCTGAGCCGAAGGCAGTCGCTTAACCAACTGAGCCACCCAGGCGCCCAATGCTCTTTGTTTTTTTGTTCTGTGATATTATGGTAGAATAAGATTCTTTTATTATGTGACAGTAAGAGTAGTTATTAGGATTATATACTCCCTGTCTAGAATTAGAGAAAGACACATGATTCAAGATCATATTGTCTGTTGTTTTGTATATCTAGCTATAAGCAGACTGTTTGCCTCCTGTCATAAATAAGCAGCCTCATCAGTTTATCCTTATGTGCTTTTTTTTTTTTAAGATTTTATTTATTTATTTGAGAGAGAGAGCACAAGGAGGAGGGGAGGGACAGAGGGAGAAGCCGACTGCCCGCTGACCAGGAACCCTGACGCTGGTCTCTGTGCCAGGACCCCAGGCACCCCAAGATTTTATACTGAAAAGTAAATTAAGAATTATGAAATAGGGGACGCCTGGGTGGCTCATTCGCTAACCGTCTGCCTTCGGCTCAGGTCATGGTCCCAGTCGAGCCCCACATCGGGCTCCATGCTCGGCGGGAAGCCTGCTTCTCCCTCTCCTGCTCTGCCTGCTTGTGTTCCCTCTCTCCCTGTGTCTCTCTCTATCAAATAAATAAAATCTTAAAAAAAAAATTTATGAAAATAAATTTTTTAAACCTCTATCAAAACTTTGGTTATGATGGCAGCTGTTTATTATAATAAGGCAAGAATCAAATAGATGAAAAGAAATTTTGTCCAGTGAAATTCTTTTTTTTTTTCTAAGATTTTATTTATTTATTTGAGAGAGAGAATGAGAGATAGCGAGCACGAGAGGGAAGAGGGTCAGAGGGAGAAGCAGACCCCCTGCTGAGCAGGGAGCCCGATGCGGGACTCAATCCCGGGACTCCAGGATCATGACCTGAGCCGAAGGCAGTCGCTTAACCAACTGAGCCACCCAGGCGCCCTTGTCCAGTGAAATTCTACAATAGGGAGATGACATACTTTATTTTGGTTCACTCTCATCGTGATCGTAAAGAGGATAAATTTTTGTAAAATAGTTAAGGACTTAATCAGTTTTAGTAAGGTTCTCTTTCAGAAATGTAGGCTCTGGAAAATTTCAAGCATGTACCAAAGAAGAGAGAACAGTAGAAATTCCCATATACGTATCCAGTTGAAAAAATAACTGCTATTTTACCAATCTTGTTTTATCTTCCCTCCATTGTGTCGTTCACTTACATTTCTTAATCCTTTGATGTTTATCATGTTATCCTTTGAAGCTCCTGTCGTATTATTGTCAGTTGTCATTTGTTTACTGGTTGACCTAGATCATCCTTTCCTTGCCTGTAATCAGAGTGGTTTTTCTTTATTTACATTGACTTTAAGAGACAGCATCTTGGGGCGCCTGGGTGACTCAGTGGTTAAGCATCTGCCTTCGGCTCAGGTTGTGGTCCCGGGGTCCTGGGATCGAGCCCCGCATTGGGCTCCCTGATCAGTGGGGAGCCTGCTTCTCCCTCTCCCCCTGCCTGCTGCTCCCCCTGCTTGTGTTGCTATCTCTCTCTCTGTCTAATATATAAATAAAATCTTAAAAAAAAAGAAACAGCATCTTTTCACCAGATTTGTTTGCGGTTTTAATTGTAATTGGCAGTATAATATTAACTTTTTTCATTAGGTGGAGATAGACACTGTATTGTCCATAGGAGGATGTTTCAATGGAGACTTTTTTTATTTTTTACTTTTTAAAAGATTTTATTTATTTGAGAGAGAGCGAGAGCACAAGCAGGGGGCAAAGGGACAGAGAGAAGCAGGCTCCCTGCTGAGCGGGGAGCCCGAGTCAGGGCTCGATTCCAGGACCCCGGGGATCATGACCTGAGCCGAAGGCAGACACTTAACAGACTTAGCCACCCAGGCTCCCCTGGAGACTTTTTAAAAAAAGATTTATTTATTATAGAGAGATCACACACCTGCTGGGGTGGCAGGTGGGGGGAGGGACAGAGGGAGAGAGAGAGAATCTCGAGTAGACTCCCCACTATGCTTTGAGGAGCCTGACTCAGGGCTGGATCTCATGACCCTGAGATCATGACCTGAGCTGATACCAAGAGTGGGATGCTTAACTGAGTGGGCCACCCAGGCGCCTCTGAATGGAGACTTTTTTGCCATTTAAAAATAGATATTTTGGGGGTGCCTGCATACCTCAGTCGGTTAAGGGTCTGCCTTTAGCTCAGGTCCTGGGATCGAGCCCTGCTGTGGGCTCCCTGCTCAGGGGAGAGCCTGCTTCTTCCTCTCCTCCCCACTCATGCTCTCTCTCACTACCTCTGTCTCTTTCTCAGATGAATAAATAAAATCTTTAAAAATATATGAAAATAGGTATTTTGGTGTTGTAACAATCCCATACAATCTTGGGGATTCATAAAGTACTCAAAGGGGCGCCTGGGTGGCTCAGTTGTTAAGCATCTGCCTTTGGCTCAGGTCATGATCCCAGGGTCCTGGGATCGAGCCCCGCATCGGGCTCTCTGCTCCGCAGGAAGCCTGCTTCTCTCTCTCCCTTTCCCACTCCCCCTGCTTATGTTCCCTCTCTTGCTGTGTCTCTCTCTCTCATGAAGTATCAAAAAATCACCCCCTATACTGAGTTCTGTGCTGTGGATGATTAAGTGGTTAGAGAGTTAAGTGGAAAGATGAGTGAAACCTAGAGTACTCAAGCTTCAAGGAAGAATTGGAACTTGAATTGGTCTTGGTTGGGTTTGGCTAGGTTTAGAAA